GGGAAAGAAGCAGGAGCAGAAACACAGCTCCGAGCTTCACCAGGACCCAGGGGCGGGAGCACAGCAGGAAGCGGCTCTCAGCCTTGAGTCCCACGCTGCTCAGAGAAGGACGCACACCCACGCCTGGGCACAGGGCCGGACCCCGCCTGAGAACACCCAGCAGCCTTGCCCCAGTGATCAACCACCCGGAGAACTTGCTGAACGCACAAACTCCCAGGCCACCCTGCTGCTCCGCTCACCCGGAACCCCGGATCACCCTGGAGGTTCCTCTCCACTCCTGCTAACCAGTGTCCCAGGAAGGGGGAGGGGAGGAGCTTGCTCTGAGGCTCAGGCAGGGAAGGGGAGGCAAAGGGGACAGAGGGTCAGGGGTTGGACAGGAGGGGCACAGCGGGGAGCAGCCAGTGAGGTCATTGAGGGTGCCGTGGGACGGAGCCGCTCTGCAGACATGCCAGACTGGCAAGGGCACCGGGAGGTGGGGGCGGGGCAGGTGGCGGCTCCAGTGGTTTACGGGCTGGGAGAGGCGGGCGGGATGCGGCTGCGGGTAAGGGCAAGGTCACGATGTCCAGGGGAAGGCCATGTGACAAGTGTCGGTCACTTCCGTCCCACCGTGCGGACACCACACACGGCCGCAGGCCTCTCACGTGTCAGCTCAAGCGGCCAGGTCAGTGCCATCTTACAGGGAGCGGGGCAGGCAGAGAGCAGGAACCCACTCGAGACCACACCGCCGGTAAGCGGGGAGCCCACGGGAGGGAGGGCCTTCCCATGTGCCACGCCCCAAACCAAGCCGAGACTCGCTCCCCCGCCCCGGACATCCGCACAGAGCCCATTCCTAAGCCTCAGAGTCGGCTCGACTGACCCAGCACGAGTGAGCCCAGGGCTCCGCAGGTGTCTCCTGCCGCCCCAGCCTCCGGGGCTTCGCGTCGCACAGGGGCAGGGCAGCCGCCCGGGGAGGGCCTCTCCCTCACCCTCCGAGCCTGCCCTGCTGGCTCCAGCTCGAGGCCCGAGACCCCCTGCCTGGGGCTCTTCCCCAGACCCCCGAGGGCCTGTTTGCCAAGGCGCACGCTGGGCCCTTGGAGGACATAGCGCCATGACTCGCCACCTCCTGACCCAGCCTCGTGCTCCTTCCCGTGACCTGTGACCTGACGTCACACCGCAGCCATGGACAGCTCTGTCTCCCGCCCCGGAGAGCCGAGACCTCCTGTCCTAGCAGGTGCGGTCCCACGGTACGTACGCGTTGACCGAGCAAGTTCACGGCTGAGCAGCCGCCCACCACCACTAAGCACCTTCAGCACCCAGCTCCACCATGACACTCGAGGCCCCAGCCCCAGCTTCCCTCCCAAGACATGCCACGTGGAACCTATGCCACAACCAGACCAGTACCCACGAAGCAGCCCGGCCCACTCCGCCACCTCCTCCCGCGTACGGGCTCCCAACCATGGCTTCCTGGGGTGGCCTCATCCCCTCCTCCAGCAGCATCTGTCAGACCCAAGCCTCCCCCCCAACCCCCGCCTCCTCGACGCTCCAGGCCAGACTCCAGGCCTGGCCTGGGGCCCACGCGGCCCAGCCTGGAATCCACGGCCAGTAAATATTTGTCAAGAGCTGGTTGTTTGGGTGTAAGCGCTGCCCTGGCACGGGCAGGCGCTGTGCCCACGGCGGCGGTGGCGGTAAGGCAGAGACCAGGCGGCAGGACCGGGGGCCGCGCACCTCAGGGTGGGTGCTTCTGGGAAGGCTGAGGCATGGGCCTCTCTCTGCGCTCTGCTCCCTGGCACCACACGGCTGCCTGAGGCCTCCCAGGCAGGGGCGAGGGGCGTGCGCCCGACAGCTGCCACGTGGAGAGGGGGCCCCTCCCTGTCGGTGACGCAGCCTCCTGGGGGGCTGTGGCTGGGCCCGCCGTCCTCACCTTCATTGTGCTGCGCTCTCCTTCTCTCATCCCGGGGGGTTCTGGTTCCGTCGATTTTTCTACAACGGGAGAAGAGAGACAGTGGCCTTACTCCCTCGGGCCCGTCTCCCCTGGCATTCGCGAAGCACTCGGAGAGCTCTGCGGGGCAGATCCACGCACACAGAGGGACAAGAGAAAAGCAGAAACAGGCCCAAGAAGACACCACAGGCCCAGTTCCCATTCCAGAAAAGCCTCCTTTCCTGGGGCCCCCCGAGTCCACCGCACGTACGGGGAGTAGGGGTGCGTGCGGGGCGCGATCGTCCTCTGCGTTCCCGTCTGCAGCACGTCCTGGGGCGTCATCATGACGTAGAACTGACCTGCGGGGAACACGTGGGTCGGCACCAAGCTGGGCCCGGGGCGGGAGCGGGCTGGGGGTGTACCTGCCTGCTGAGCCCCACGCCTCCTTCCCTGCCACCCCCCGGCTGCTTCCTCTTCTCACCTCCAGCCTGCAGGCTCTGCTCTGTGGTCTGCACAGACACGGCCGTGGTGTCTCCCACGCTGGAGGCCGGGAAGTAGGCGAATCGCGCCTCGCCGCTGACAGCCTCGGCTGCGGGGCTGCCGCCATTGCTAAAGGGGTTCTGGATCACAGCCTGAGGGGGAGGCGAGGACAGGGCGGCCCTCAGTGTCTCCGTCCTCATGGGCTCTCTGGACTGCAAACTCTGGGCCCACCCCCACACCACTGTGTCATGCATCTCACAAGGCCCTAGAAACTTGGCTGCTCTTAGAGACATTCCCATGTTACAGGCGAAGAGACGCCTTCTAAGAGGTTCCACCGCCCCCACCTCAGGGACTGGACCCCACAGGGCCCGAGGCAGCGTCTGCATCCCCCTGCCTTGCTCCCGCGACTCCCCAGAGGCAGGCCCCCTGCCCACCCCATCCCGCCGCACCCCTAGAGGCGGGCACCTACCAGAGGGAAGGGCGCTGCGGGACCTGGAGGCACAGAGGCAGCGGCGGGCCCGGGGCGCTGGGCGGCCCCGTCCACACCCACCTGGGTCACAGCCTGCTGCCCCCCCGCGAAGGCAGCGGTGGACACGACGCTGACGGCACCAGCCGTGTCTCCCTGGCCGTCCAGCTGACCATCAGTCACCTGGACTACGCGGTACGTCACCTGCAGGGGGCGGCAGAGCAGCGAGACCGGCGCTGGGGTCCCCGCCCGGGCCCGGCACCAGCCTCTCCCACCCACGCGGCTTAAGACCCTCGGCTCAGCCCCGCTCCCGCGCGGGGCTCCCGGGCCGCTGCCGCCTCACCTGTCCTCCATTATTCTCTGTGCGGAACTGGTACTGGATGTTGTGGTCGCCGAACGCCGCCTGCTGGACGCTGGCGATGGCCACCGCCGTCTGCTCCTCCGCCCCAGGGCCGTCCCCGCCTGCGGTCCGAGGCGGGTAAGGGCGGGTGGTCAGCGGTCGCGCGGGGCCAGGGCGCCCCCGGGCCCCTGCGCGAGCGCGGGCCGCGGCCCAGGGCGGGAGGGCGCCCGCCAGCACTCACCTTCCTGCAGCTCGACGCCTTCCTCTGCCTCGGGTCCCTTGTCGTGACTAGCACAGGAAGGAGAGGAAGACGAGGGGCTCGGGGCTGCCCGCGCCCCCGGCCCTGCGCCCCGCTGCGGGGCCCTCCGCCCGCCCCGCCCCGCCGGCGGCCGGGACCCCGACCCGGGCCGGGGCCGTCGGGCCCCGGGGCCCCCTCCCTCGCGGCCTCCATTTTGAGCTGGGCCCGGCGGCCGCTCGGGATCATGGCGGCCGGCCGGCGGGCCACAGGGCCGGGGCCGGGGCGCGCGGGGGCACGGGCCGGCCGGGCGCTCTTACCTGGCGGCGGCGGCAGCGGTGGCCGAGGCAGCGGGATCCAGACCCGGGTCCAGCATGTCCATGGGGGGGTGGGGGCGGGGGGGGCGCGGGGCCCGGGGGGGAGGGGAGGGGAGGGGAGGGAGGGAGGGAGGGGAGGGGGCGGGCGGCCGGGGGGGCCCCCGAGCCCGGCGCTCACGCCGCGCGGCAGGAGGGGACGGAGGAGACACGGGAGCCGCTCGCGCTGATCACGGGGACAAACAGTGGGGTCATGTGAGGAGGAGATGCCGCCGCCGCCGCCGCCGCCGCTCCTGCAGCCGCCGCCTCCTGCCGCCTCCGCCCGCCCGCCGGCTGCCGGCGGCCCGAGGCCCCGGGACGCGGCGCGGCCGCCCCCCGCCCTCTGCACGCGGCCCTCGGGCCTCCTTCCCCGGGCAGCCGCGGCCGCCGCCGCCGCGACTTTGTTTTTTTGAGCTCGGCCCGCCCTAGATGGCCGCCGCCTCGCGCCCGGATCGCCGGCTCGCGCGTCCGCCGCCCGGCCTGGCCCAGTCCGGCGGCGGATCGCTGCTGCAGCCGCCGCCGCTTTCTATTTTTTCCCCCTTTTTTTTCCTCCTTTACTTGAGCTGCGCGCGCGCGGCGGCGGCGGCGGCGGCGGCGGCGGCGCGAGCCCGGGCCCGACGCGCGCGGGGGGAGGGCAGCCCCCGGGGAGCGCGCGCGCTGTTCGTCTCCGATGGCGGGCGAGCGGGCGCGCGCGCGGGCCCGGGTCTCCGCGGGCCACGAGGTCGCCCCCGCCGCGCGCACCCCGGCTGGAACGCGGGCCCGGCTGGAACGCCACGAGGGCCCAGAGAGGGGGCCCTGGCCGCCAGGGACCAGGCAGGCCTGCCGGGGTTTGGAAGATGGCAAAGTAGGTCGGGGGGGAGGGGCGGGCCGGGCGGCCGGGGAGGAGGGCGCGCACGCGCGCTCCCGGAGGCAGGGCCGCTGCGCGCGAAGGCGGCGGCCCGGGGCGCATGCGCACGCTGGGCGGGGCCGGGGCGCGCACGCTGGGCGGGCGGCGGCGCGTGGGGCACGTACTGTCCTGGAAGAGCGAGAGGGCGCGCTCGGGCTCGGCCTCCGGGCCCCGGGGCAGGAGGGCCCCGGCGTGGGCCGGGCGCGCCGCGCGGCCGCCTCAACTCCCGCACCTCGCACCCACTGCTGTACAGACGCTCGTCTGACACTCAGGCCTTGTGGTTGTAAACTTTATTAGACCTAGGAGGGGAGGGGCTCCATCTGTAGTGCGTTGAGTTTTTAAAAAAAAAAAAATACAAAAGCGGCATACAAAACGTGAGCTCAGACGACTAAGCTCTCCCGGCTCAGGGCCAAGTTCTGCAAGGGAGAAAGAAGGAAAGAAGGGTGAGCGCCGGGGGCCCGCAGGACAGGGGGCCCGCGGGGGCCGGCGCCGCCCCGCGCTCACCTTCCTGAGCCTGCGCTCGCGGGAGGCCTGCGAGTCGGTCTCGGAGTACGGGGGCGGCGCGGCGGGGTAGTCGTCGTCCTCCTCTTCCTCCTCTCGGTAGGGCCGCCGCTTCTCCCCGGACCCCTTTTTCCGCAAAGCCTCTTCTAGGAGTCGCGTGTCGTACGGGTGGTCCCCGGCTCGGGAGCCATCGTCCCGAGAGTCCCGGGACCTGGGGTAGCGCGCCCTGGAGTCGGCGTGCGCGCGGTCCCTGGCCCTGCCGTCATCGTAGCGGGGATTCCGGGACGGTGCGAAGTCCCGCGGGTCATCGCGGTCGTAGAGGTCGTCCCGGCTGCGGCTCCTGGGGGGCGCGTAGGCCCGCCCTCTGCGCCCACTGCTCGGGGGAGACCTGGTCCCCGACTCGCTGGAGCCGGGGCGCGCGAGGTCATCCAGCGCATCCACAGAGCGCGCCCGTGGCCGTCCGGCCCCCCAGCCGCTCCCGGGACGCTCGGTGGGAGGCTCCTGGGCCCATCTCCTGGGACTCCGCGGGGAGTGGCGACCCCACTCCTCGTCGCGGACCGGGCTGAGGGCAGGACCCCTGGGAGGCCGGGATCGCCAGTCGTCCTCGTGGAGGGAGGTGACCTCGCTCATGGCTGTGGGAGAGGTGGGCGTCACTGATACTGGAGGCCTGGGTCTGGCCGAGTCGTCCCCCATCCCCGCCCCGGGCAGGGACCTGCGGCGAGGGAACCTCCCCGGCCGGCTGGGGGCCCCTCCAGGCCCAGAGCCCTTTCTCACCCCGCTCCACGCGGCCGTTGGCAGGGCCTGGCCGAGAAGGGTCGAAGTTGGCCAGCTCTTTCTCCATGTAGTACAGAACCCGCATGGAGTCATCCTGCTGGTTGGCCTGAATCCTGTAGCCACTGCGGACTTCTAGGGACAGAGCAAAGGTGGCCAGCTTGGGAGGGTGGGCCGTGGGCCAGCCCAGCCCGCCCCACGACAGGCATGTCCACCTTGGAACCACTGCTTACCAGATGTCACACCGCTGTCAGTGTCATGGAGTAGAGGTACCTGCGAGCTGTGGCCGCCAACTGCGGGAGACTGGCCGTCAGTGGCTGCCCACCTGCCTTCCCAGCTCCTCCCCTCCCCCAGCCCCCACCCCAGGAGCGCCTGCTTCACGCGGGCCTCACCTGAGCTATTCCTGTCGAAGTCGGCAGGGTACCCGCCATTGTAGACAGGGCCCATGGGAATCATGGCTGGCGGCGGGGGCGGGGTCTTGGCAGGGGAGAGGTAGGCGTAGGTGCTGGGGGCGTAGATGCTGGGGACGCCTGAGGTGGCTGCTTTGCCAGCAGCATACACTGGGGGGACACAGTCGCCATGACAAGGTGGCCAGGAGTCCTGCTGCCCTTCGCTGACAGCGCCTGGCCCTCCGTCCCACCCCGCGGGCGGAGGAGCTTCCCTCAGCACTTGGACCCTTGCTGTCATACTTCTTTCTCAGGGCCACAGGCCCTGCTGTGTGACCAGCACAGGTGCTGGGCCCCAGCCTGGCAGGCGGATCTCCCCGACAGGATGGCAGTTCACCAGGCATTTGCCGAGTGAACGGTTTACATACAGTTCTCTCTGCAACCACCCCAGCAGGACATGGCCACCCTGGGCCTGCAGATAAAGCCTTCATGCAGGGTCCACTGCAGTCCCCACGCCGGAACCAGGCTCCCCAACGGCAGCCAAGCGCCTGCTCTAGGAAAATGGCGCATCTCGTGGTTCCTGGGCCTGCGAGGACATCCTCCGGGCCAGCTGCACGGAAGGGGAGTCGGGCAGACGCTCGGGGGCGGCGGCCAGCAGGGGAGTAGCTGCAGTGGCTCCCACTCCCTCCCACCCACTGGCTCTTGGCCCACAGCTCAAGGGCAAGTCCTTTTTGCTTCCTCCTTCCCCAGGGCAAGAAGCTGGCTTCTGTTGGCAGAGTCCCGGGCTGCAGGCGGGTCACTGCCTCCTTGGGGCTCCAGCAGGAAAGTAAGGGGGAGATGGGGGCCCTGTTGGCGGGAGAGCTGTAGCTCCCCCAGGGCTCCCATCACCCTCGGGGTGCCAGGGTCTCAGGACGCGGGCACTTAAAGCCTTCTGGATACGCTCACAGCACCGCAGGTGCCCGGGACCTCCAAGGGGAGGATTCGCACGTGGCTCAGGGCCGAGAGCACTGTGCTTGTGCGACTTGCACCATGGCCCGGGGGCACTGCCGCTGCTGGCCCCTGCGGTGTCCTACAGCGGAGCCTCCGGCTGAGCGCTGCCGCAGGGCGCCAGACCCCTGGACTCTGCCCCATGAGCTCCACATCACAGAGGACGGGACAGGGACAGGGAAAGCCACCGAGCTTCCAGGCAGGTCAGGACAGACCCCTTCCCTGACTGCCACCTGTGCGCGTTACTACAGGTGCGACATGGGCCGGGCGCAGAGGGAAGTTAACAGGGGACCGGCAGCAGCCGTGGGAGGGAGCCGTCTCCCTCCCCTCCTGCTGAGTTTCCTTGTCCCTTCCCTCCCTGGCCCCACGGCCATCCCCAGCCCTCCACGGATACACCCACCCCCATCCCCACGCCCCGGAAGGGCTGGATGCATCTGTGTCCCATGTGCGGTGTGTGTGCGGCCGCGGCTTTTTGCTGCTGCTGTTACCTGGTGCCGTTAACCCTGCCTGGCTGCTTATTCTGTTAAAGTTTTGTTTCTAAGGGGGCTTTACTTTCCTGTGAACGCTGCCTCACACTGTTGGACGTTTGCTTTTTTGCCGTGTGCACGGATTATACTCTCAGAAAGGTCTAGGTCTAAATAAATAAATGAGAGTTCAAAGTTGGAGTCCGTAAATGATCGTCTAAGATGGTAGATCCTCTCTGGCCTGCCTGCCTTCCAGCTGCTTACCTCGCGACCTCCAGGGCAGTGGCACTGTCCTGGGGGCAGGCGGACAGCCACCTCCTCCCCTCCAGCCCCCAGGAGGGAGGCCGAGCGGGGGTGGCCGCGTGGGGGGCACTTACGGGCCTCGGGGCAGCAGCACTTGTCCGGGCAGCAGGGACACCTGACGTAGCAGCAGCAGGTGTGCGGGCAGCACTGACACCAGCAGATCCCCAGCAAGAGGAAGACGAGGAAGCCGGCCAGGCAGACCACGACCACAAAGAGCCAGTCTATGAGAGATGGGGGAACAGGCCCTGAGCCGGGCCATGTGCAAGGGGCAGGGCAGGGGCAGGGCAGGGCCAGCGCATCCACAGAGCGAGCCGCAGGCCATGCGCAGCGCCAGGGGCTGAGGTTGGGTGGGTGGGACGTGTGTTCGCAAAGCTCCCTAGGGAACCTGAGGTTCCTGCTGGGTTCTCCCAATGTCAGAGGCTAGGGCACAGCTGCAGAGGGCACCAACCCCTGTATGACGGAGGCCAGTCCCCAAATTAGGGAGCCCACCCACCCCCCACGCTGGGGTCTAGGTAGGGCAGAAACAAGAGGCGACATGGCCAGAGCAAGACAGACTGTAGCCTCCCCACGGGACAGCACGCCAGCAGCCCAGCGCCCAACCCCGAAGAGCACCGCGGGCGCCAGTCACAGGAGCCCCTGCCTGCACCCCAGGCCCCTCAGCCAGCCCAGCCCCGAGCCCGGTGAGTGGGAGTCGGGCAGGGTTAGTGGGGTCCACAGCAGCGGTGTCTAGGGGGTGGGGGAACACCCGACACAGCAGCAGTGTGTGGGGTTCCTCAGAGAACCCACACTCAGGGCTCCACCCCCGTACCTTCCATGGGCCCCGCCTGAAAACCAGGTAAGAGCTCAGCCACCCCTGAGGTCCTGCCTGGAGGGACAAAAGAGAAACAGATTACGCTGGCCAGAGCCAGCCCAGGCCGCCCTGCCCAGTGCCAGGTGGGCCCTGCGGGGGTCGCGGCAGGGCAGGGTATGAGTGTCCTGTGCCCTCTGCCCCGCCCACATGGGAGCTGTCAGGTGGGAGGCTTCCAGCCTTAACCGACTGGCGCTCTGCCGCAGGAGTCCCAACCGCATCCCCGGAGGCCCGCTGCCTTTCCCCCGCAGGGCCCTTGGGGCTCCAAGCCAGGCCACAGGGGCCGGCCTGGTCTGCTGGGCAAAGGGGATCCTGGTGCCCATATGAATGGTTTCTTTTAAAGCCAAAAAATATAAAAATCCTGGATATATAATACAGAATTGTCTTCAGACGGGAAGATCTCTAACTGCCTTTCTTTTTTTTTTTTTTCTTTTTTTTTTTTTTGACAGGCAGAGTGGACAGTGAGAGAGAGAGACAGAGAGAAAGGTCTTCCTTTGCTGTTGGTTCACCCTCCAATGGCTGCCACAGCCGGCGCACCGCGCTGATCCGATGGCAGGAGCCAGGTGCTTCTCCTGGTCTCCCATGGGGTGCAGGGCCCAAGCACTTGGGCCATCCTCCACTGCAGTCCCGGGCCACAGCAGAGAGCTGTCCTGGAAGAGGGGCAACCGGGACAGAATCCGGCGCCCCAACCGGGACTAGAACCCGGTGTGCCAGCGCCGCAGGCGGAGGATTAGCCTAGTGAGCCGCGGCGCCGGCCTCTAACTGCCTTTCTAACAACTCTTTTTAAAAGATAAAACAACACAATCTTTTTTTTTTGTTTAAGTGGAGGAATGGGCCAAAGATGGCAAAAGTGCTGTGGCCTTAAAGGTGACTCAGGGGGGTCCACTTCAGCTCACACATGCTGCCACCTGTCTACATTCAGGACCAGGTTCCTGCCTCCCTGCGGGAGCTCTGAACCCACAGCATCACAGCGTGCGTGGGCGTGGGCGGGCTCAGGCACGCACACACGGCTGTCTCCAGAGTTCACGTATGTGGCACCGCATGCCTCTACTCGGGGGGGCGCAGCAGCGACTTCACTCTGGTTCTCTCAGGAGTGTACACTGGATCCCTCCTGGCGAGGCTGGCTCGCGGACTATGTGCCACGTATCTCATGTTCCAGAACCAATTTCCCAGCTTCAGGAGGTGGGCATTTAGCCGAGCAGTTCAAACGCCAGTTAGGACGCCCATGTCCCACACGGAGCACCGGGCTTTCATTCCCAGCTCCGGCTCCTGACTCCAGTTGTTTTGTTTAAGGTTTATTTACTCATTTGAAATCAGAGTTAGGGAGAGAGAGACAGAAAGATATTCCATCCACTGGTTCGCTTCCCAGATGCCTGCAATGACTGGGGCTGGGCCAGGCTGAAGCCAGGAGCCAGGAGCCAGGAGCTTCACCTGGGTCTGCCATGGGGGTGGCAGGGACCCAAGCCCTTGGGCCATCCTCCGTTGCTTTTCCCAGGCCACCAGCAGGGAACTGGATTGGAAGCGGAGCAGCTGGGACCCAAACTAGCACTCACATGGGACTGGCATCGCAGGTGGCAGTTCAACCTGCTACGCCACAGTGCCAGCCCCTGACTCCAGCTTCCTGCTAATGCAGACCCTGGGAGGCAGCAGGGAGGGCTCAAGTATTTGGGTTCCCGCCACCCATGTGGGAGAGCTGGATCAAGTTCCTGGCTCCAGCTTCAGCTCTGGGGCAGCTGGGGAGTGAACTAGTGGATCTCTCTCTCTCCATTTTTCTTTTTGTTTCCCAGTTTCCATTTCTAATATGTTAAGCAACCATGCATATGGGCCACAAAACCTTGAAATTCTTTGAGGTCCCCAATAGTAAACAGTATAAATGGGTTCTGAGCCTAAATTTTGAGAACTGTTCCTGCAGATTGTGTGTCTTACTGAAGGCCACACAGAGGCGCCGGGGTCGCTGGGACACAGGTGCCACCGCCCCATGTGAACCTGGCTGCATGGGCATCCCTGGGTGTGACCCCAGCCTGTGCTCATTCCCACATGCGTGCCCCTCACATACAACATCTGTGGTAAGAGACCACGCGCCAGCTTACACCCGGGCGCCGGGCACTGGGCAGCATCCCCCAGCACAGGGCAGGGGGCTGGAGGAGACCCCATGTGCCCTGGGCATCTGGAGGCAGCCTGGCAGCCACACTCAAACTTCCATACCCTGCGCTGGCCACAGAGCGCCACCCAGCAGGACGGACGGCAGAGCTCTCCAGGAACTTGGGCGAGGGGCTCCCGGGTGCGAGGTAGCCCTGCCTCCTCCCAGTTATGAGGTCAGCCCTCTGCATCTACCGGTTCTGCCTCCTTGGAATCAACCAACAGTGGGTCAAGAATACTGGGGGGTGAGGGATGGGGAGGACCTGGTGCAGTGGCGTAGAGGGTAAAACCTCCACCTGCAGTGCTGGCATCCCATATGGGCGCCAGTTCGTGTCCTGGCTGCTCCACTTCTAATCCAGTTCTCTGCCATCGCCTTGGAAAGCAGTGGAAGGTGGCCCAAGTGCTTGGGCCCCTGCACCTGCGTGGAAGACCCTGAAGAAGCTCCTGGCTCCTGGCTTCACACTGGCACAGCTCTGGCCGTTGCAGTAGTGAACCAGTGGATTGAAGACCCCTCTCTCTCTCTCTGCCTCTCTGTAACTCTGCTTTTCAAATAAATAAATAAATCTTGAAAAAAAAAAAAAAAGAATATTGGGAAAAGCACATGCAGCTGTAGAGAACAGGCAGGGACTTTTCCCTCTGCATCCTTCCCGGAACTCGGGACTGTAACAAGTATTGCGGCAGCCATTACAATGTATTACATATTACCTAGGAGCAGGTGTGTGGGTTATATGCAAACAGGGGACCCCACAGCCTCCCAGGTCAGAATCTGTGGTCCTAGAGCCGATCACCAATGGGTGCTGAGAGACAACCATACGCCCCATCAACCCTCCCCAATCACTGCAGGCCACCCTGAGCACACGTGTGTTTTCCAGGGGCGAGGTTGGGCCAGGCGGAGTCTCCAGTTCTCGCCACCCCAAGTCTGGCTCTGGCTGACGTGAACCCACCCCAGTGGCAAGGGGCCCTGCCTGGGGTGCAGGCACGGAGAAGCCCGAGTGACTGGCGGTGCCGCGAGGGGACAGCAAAGCAGGCGACAGGGCCCGGAGAGTGAGCTGCAGGGCAGGGGACGGACACACGGACACACAGGAGCGGACACAAGGCCCCCGGGGGCCGCCTCACTCACCCAGGACGAGGAGCTCTGCGTAGGCTTCATTGTTCCCCTGGAGGTCCTGGGCCGAGACCACGGAGCAGTAATACACGCCACTGTCACCCCACGCCGTCTGCTCAAAGGTCAGGTCCGCGTCTGGGCAGGAGGGGGACAGCTTGAGGGAGGGTACTTCCTGGGGCCAGGGGGGCAATTACCCCACTCCCCCACCCTGGGGAGGGGCTACGAGCGAATCAGTGGAAACCAGGTTGGCCTGGGACAGACACGTCACAGCAGCTACTGTGGGGCGCCTGGGAGCCTACAGGTGGGGGAGGCCACCTGGACAGTGCAGCTGGGCAAGGCAGCACTTCCGGCCTAGAACCACTCTGTGCGCCACCTCACTCCTCTCACTGCCCAGGGCAAGGGAGCAGACGACCCGGCCAGACGCCAGGTCAGGAACTGCCCCACTCCCATACATACGGTGGGGGTGGGAGACACGGAGACTCCTCCCCCTCTTCTCTCTGCCCCACATCCTGGACAGGCCCAGGTCAGGCCCAGGGCTTGGGGACGCTGTGGTGTGAAGCAGCCCCAGGCAAGGAGCCTGTTAATTACGCCACTGATGAAAGTCTCCCAGCGCATCCTGTTTCCTCTCTGCTCCTCAGGCCCTAATTAGTTAACCCCCTGCCATCACTCACCAGTGTGGAACTGGAACAGGGAGCCTCACTTGGCAACTCTGGGCTTAGGCCTGGGGGGGCGGGGAAGAGGCTACAGCCCCGCATCGCAGCCAGGAAGTCCCTCCACCTCCTGCTCACTTTCTGCTCAGTTCCCACTGGGCCTCCGCCGCCTTGAGACCCCAAGCAGGAGGGCCTCACGTGCACTCCACCCCCGGCTGCCGGTGCTCAGCCAGCGCCCAGCTAGCGCCTCACCCCCACCGTCTCCTTGCTCCCTGCACCCCAGCTCGCCAGGCTCCTCCAGCCCCTCGAGGCTGCTGCTCCCTGCTCGGTCCTCCAGCCTCAGCCAGCCCAGCTCACGCAGCTCCCCTGCCCCTGCACACACTGAGCGAACCTCCCTGCGGCAGATCTGTGACGGCCTCGGCCACTGCTGGGCACCTACTGCCCGACACGGGCCCGGCCGGGAGCAGAAATGAGCGCTGCTCTCCTCGTGCTGGCCTTTCTTGGCTTCTGTTGCCTGGTCGAACATTCTGGACATGTGGGCTACATTCAAATGGACACTTGATTCATTCATTCAACAACTAATACTTGGATGCATCTTACGTGTTAGAATCTAGACAGTATTTCTGGCATATTCTAAAGCAAAGAGACTAGGATTGGCATTGTAATGCGGCCAGTGAAGTCACTGCCTGGGATGCCGATACCCCATGTGGCTGCAAGACCCATCTCCCTGGGAGAACAGCAGAGGACGGTCCAAGTACTCGGGCTCCTGCCACCCACGTGGGAGACCTGAATGGTGTTCTGGGCTCCTGGCATTGGCCCGGCCCGGCCCTGGTTGCTGCAGCCATTTGGGGAGTGAATCAGTAGATGGAAGATTGTTTCTCCCTCTCTCTGTGTCCCTCTGCTATTCAAATAAACGTTACAAAACAATTAAGAGGGTAAAGAGGCCAGGAGACGAATACATTCGATCACCACTGCTGTAGAGAACAGGTAAAAATCCTCGCCCTTACACGGGCTCAGACGACCTGGGAAAGAGACGCAAACACAAATGTAATCGCCTCGCAGAACAGGCGGTGACAGAGGGCACAGAGCCAGTGAACTTGGGGAGGCGGCAGGAAGTACCAGGCCTGGAGGTGAGGGCTGTGCGCTTTCGGAGGTGACCTTTGGGGCAGAAGTGGGGGCCACGGCCGCCCTCCGTGAAGACAGCTGTCCTGCGTATGAGCCCCCACTGTGTGCTGGGCCCCGTGCATGCACGTGTTCTGTCACTGAGCCCTCAAAAGCGCAAACCAGCACCCCAGCTGCCCCAAAGTCCTCTTGGCCGTTTCCCACCTGTGTCTTTACATCAGCCCCTGACCCGCACAGCGGGGCCCGCAGGAACCCCCTGCCACGGACCACAATCACGTAGGCCAGGAATTGGGACCTGGGGCCCCGTGGGCCGGATCTGGGCCCCGTGCACTTTGTTTGGCCTGCATGATGTTTTCAAAACCCATGAAATACAAGAGTTTCCGGCCTCTTTTGATCAATCTGAGGGCTTCGGTCCACCTCCTTCCTGCCAGGCGCACCCTGTCCCTGGTCCCCGTCCGGCCCTGAGATCACACGGGCTGGGCACTGCTTTTAACTTGTCAGGGGGAAGACGCGGGCCTGGATCCCTGCCTACCGCCAGCACAGGCCGCGTGCTGTGTTCCCCCACAGCCAGAGGAGGCGGACGCGGGGTCTCTGAAGCTGGGGCCCACACCACCCAGAGGTGCTGAGCTGAGGGCCTACACCAGGGGCCGGCAACCTTGCGGGTTGCCCGAGGGCCGCCTTCAGCATCCCTTTTAACACCAGGGCAGTCAGTGCCCCAGTGGCACCACCGAGAAGGCCCCTGCACTGAAAGGCAGGAAGCTCCCGTGGCTCCACGCTTTCCGGAAGGGACTCACACACAATGGATGCACAGCACTCGCGGCCCGCCAGGCTCCCCAGGCAGCAGCGGGAAACCCCTGGAGCCTGATGGTGCCGGCCCCCACCCCTCAGAGCCTAGGGTCGCTGCGCATGGAGTTCAGTGCTCAGCGGAGCGGGGCCCAGTTGCAGCCCCCAAGGACAGGCTCAGCACAGGGTGGTCCCCGCAGGGCTTGGCACTCATGCCTGTCCAGGCTGGAGTGGCTGCCGGGGTGGAGGGAAGGGGGCTGGGACAGGCTGAACCCCAAGCAGCCCTTCAGCTTCAGGCACCAGCAGGATGCTTGGGGTTGAACCGCCCATGGAAATTCAGGGTACGTCTGGTCCCTCCCCGGAAACAGGGCTGATAGGGCCCAATGGCTCCACAGGGCGCGACACTCAACGGCGCTTTCTTTGCAGCTCTGGCACTGTCTGACATTCTCTTACTCTTGCTACGCGTGCTTGCCCACTGCCCGTCTCGCCCCACCAGGATGTCACGTCCCCGAGGGCCAGGCACCCTGGCTGTCCCAAACACGGCTCCACGCCCAGCGCCTGGCGGACACACTGTGTGAATGACGCCCCGTCAGGAGGGAGAGACAGGGTGAAGGACAAGGACCCGCAGGGCTGCCGCGGTTCAGAGCCGTGCGTCACGTGTGTGGTGTGCCGGCACGGTGCGGGCTGGCCCCTTGGAGCCGCTCCCCACCGCCGGCTCTCGTCCCCTCTGCTGCCTCCCCCGAGGGAGTAAAAGGAGTGAGAAGTCTGGAGCCTCGGCCAGATCGGTCGCCCACTGTGTGACCCTGTGCAAGTCGCCCTGTGTCTCTGGACTTCTGTACCACGAAGTATTCGCTCAGTTACTGTGCCGTCCCAGTGAGTTAGACCACCTGGGGCTGGATTCCAGCCTGAGCCCTGGGACGCATTTCCAGACCTGTTTCTTCCACACTTCTGTCTTCTGCTTGCGGACAGCATTCACGTTCTTAGAGAGTGAGCCCCCACCTTGTTTCCCACAACCCCGCGCCCCAGCCCTCCCAGCGCTGGGCGGGACAGCCTGTGCTGGCCTCCCCCGCTGCAAATGAGAGCTTCGCCAGGGCTCTGCTTTGATGGTTTTGCCTACTGCTGTATCCCAGGGCCCAGAACAGTATGGCACGCGGCAGGTGCCGAGTCTTGTTCTATAAAGGGAGGGATGGATGGCCACAGAGAGGGAGCCCTCCCTGCCGCGGGCGCTCAGGAGCTCCCAGGTGAGGCCTGCAGGTGCACCCCTCTTGCCCTGCCTCCCCGCACCTTGCACAACCTACTTCCAGTGATGGTGATCCTGCGTCCCTGGTAGTAGTCGCCCAGGGTCACAGTGTTGCCCTGCTTGGTGGCCACCACCCTGACGGTGCGCACGCTGTCCTGGCACTCCACGTAGGGGTTGTAGCCTGGGTTACCAGCCGCCAGCTGGGCATTGATCTGGTTGTCCACGCTGGCCGGGGAGAAGGCATCGGCGACGCGGTCTCGGCAGAAGGACTTGTACTTCCATACGACAATGGGGGCCGTGGGGGTCATGGTCATCTGGTAGGAGCAGGGCAGGGTCACGGGCTGGAAGAGGATCACCACGTGGTAGGGGTCTGACACGGTCACCTGGATGGCGCCGGCAGGGGCTGTGGGCAAGAGGAGACAGGGCAGGGCCCGCCGTGAGCTGCAGGAAGTACTTCCAGGACAAGAAGCCAGACGCCCTGTCATCAGCTGAACGCTCAGGCGGGAGTGCGGTTTTACAGAGCGCCCGGGACACGCTGTTCCTTAAGCTCCGAGACCAGGGAGGTGGCTACAGTAATCATTGGGATTTTTTTTTTAGGCCCACGGGGCTGGAGCGGCAGATCCAAGGTCACAGGGCTAGATTCCTGGAACGCCGGCTCCACTCCTCTTGCCTTGGTCACCGCTCACAGGAAGAGGCATCTCTGTGGTCCACACAGGCAGACCCAAATGGCCACCCCAGGGTCCCGGTGCCCCAGGCCCCAGCTGGAGATGAACCGCCCAGGGCTCTCTACCTTCGGGTGGCTTTTGTGAATTCTGACCCGATTGCTTCCCATAGGGTGGCTACTTTCCCACAACACTTCCCTCGGTGCCTCCCACCTCACCCTGCCCAGAACCACTGGCTCAAACAAAAAGCACTTTCACCCCCACCCAAATACCCGACCCCGGTAAGAGGTGCCAGCACCGTACGGGGTCAAGTCCACAAGTCCATCCTACCGGGCCTGGAGCCCGCGGGAGGTGCGTGGGGCCGCTGGGGAGTCCCCACCCCACCCGAAGCCCGGGCCCCATTCTTCATCTCCACCTCCGGGAAGCATCTGCTCCAGCCTTCGTGTGCCTTCTCCCCTTTCCCGCCACGTTCAGAAATCTCGGGGTGCGCCCAAGTCCCCGGCCCAGCCTAGCCTGGTGTTTGGGCCGCCCTTCCCCCCCGGCCCACAAAGGATCCCCTTCTCGCCGCCGCTCCCGGCCTGACGCTCCAGCGAGTTTCACTTCCTGCTCTCTCCAGCAAGGGCGGAGGCAGCGCTCCGCGGCTGGGCCGGGGAATCCCCTCATTCCCGCTAGCCACGGCTCTCCCAAGGTGCGGGGTCTCCACCGGCCCCCGTCCTGCCGCCTCCCGGGTCGCAAAGAACGCGGTCCACCCACCCTCTTCGTAGGGTGTCACCCGAAGTCCCGCAGCACCAGGGGCCCCGCACTCCGTACCTGTGCACCAGGTGCCGAGGAGGAGCCACACGAAGACGGCCGCGCCCAGACTCCGGGCGACCGGGTGAGGGCCCGGCCCCCAGGGGCGCTCGGCGGCCACCAGCGCCATCGCGGGCCGCCGTCTGGGCGCGTCGGGCCCGCGCGTCCCCTCCCAAGTACCGGGAGAGTAGGGGGCGCGGAGCGCACCAAGGCCGGGAGGGATGCGCGCCCCTCCGCTTCCCGCTGTGGCTTCTCGTCACGGCTCCAAGACGACCCGGCTGGTTGTGGAAGTTTTAAAGGATACAAAGTGGGTGAGGCGCGCGCGCCTAGCTTTCGGCGAGTCGCGCGCTTGCCCCACTGTGGCTTTCGGAGCCACGGCCACCCCCTGCGCGCCCCGGGGAATGGATCCGCCCAGGTACACAAGGGTGGGAGCGGAGGGCTGGGCCCAGGGGGTGGGCGGCGGGGAGGGGCTCCCCACCTCCCTCCCCGGAAGTGGGCTGACCCAGGTGCGCTCCGGCCCTCAGGGCCAGAACCAAGTGACTGGCCGGCGGGAGGACACTCGCGGACCACGGGTCCCCTTGGCCGGGCCGGGCCCAGTGGGTCGAGATCCACGAAAACCGCGAGACCCACTTGGGGTGATTCACCTGTTGCGCGAGGGCGTGTCCCGCGGCGCACCTGTTCCTTCCCTGCCCACACCCCTCTCCCCGGCTGGCGATGGACCCGCCTAGGTGCACCCCGTGGAGAGGGCTGGGGCTCTCGGGAGCGTTCGGACCCCACTCGCGCTGAGGTTCCCCCGGGCGCGGGCAGGGCCGGCAGTGCGGGTCTCTCGTGCGTCCCAGTCGGGTGACTTCCAGGACCGGGAGACCGGACAAGTTGGAATTCTTGGGCAGTTTTCGCCACCTCCCCCGCATTCCCAGCTCCGTGGTTCTGCCCCCGGGCAACCCTTGTCCCCGGGTCAGGCCTCCGGAAACTCTGGCTCTTAAAGGGGCCAGAGGGGAAGTGCGGGCCCGGGCCCGGTTTCTCTCAAGCGCGGCCGGACCGTAGCCACCTGCGCCCGGGAGCGGGTTGCCCGCGCGGCCCTCGGCGTGGCTCTGCTGACCCCCGGTGGCGGCTCCGGGAAGCGTGTCCGGGGCCGGGGAACCCTGGGCGCTCCCTGGAGTGAGACTTCCCGCAGGTGGCGGGCTGGCCGCAGGCTGGGGGAGACCCAGGAGTGTTTTGTTCTGCTGCGTCCTGTTAGACCTCGCACCCAAAGCCGTCTCTGCGCTCTAACCAGACCGTACCGCGGCCGGATCTCCCCAATCCGCCCTCTCCCTCTCCGCACGCTCGCCCTGGCTCCTCCACTCCCTGCAGCCGCCCGGGCGATCCCCTGCCTCCAAGGGGGGCTCCACTCGCTGCGCCCTCAGCCCCGTCTCTGTCGCATTGCACATTGGACCTGCTTCGTAGATTGAACTTCTGTGAACCTGATGTGGGCCTGGCTTGTTTCACTAAGCCTGAGATTTTCAAGGTCCATCCGTATTATAGCAAATATCAGAATCAAAACCGTGTTCCCTCTGTGCGTGATCAGTGGTCCGTGGTAAGTATACACCACATTTGATTTGTCCACCTGCTGATAGATAACTTCCGCTGTTTGCAGTTTTTGGTTGTTGTAAGCGGTGCAGCTGTGAGCCCCGGTGTACAAGCACCTGCTTTTAATTCTTCAGGATGTACAACAGATGTGACATTGCAGAGTGGTGTTATTATGTCTCTGCCCTTTTGAGACCTGCCAAACTGTTTTCCACAGCGACTGCATCATTTAACACGTCCCCACGTCCCCGCCAACACTTGTTGTTATCCGATTGTTTGATCACAGCCGGCTGAGTTGGTGTGAAGTGGCATGTAGTGGTGATAGCTTAAGCTATTTAAAAAATTATTTTATTTGAAAGGCAGGGATGCCGGTGCCACGGCTCACTTGGTTAATCCTCTGCCTGCGGCGCCGGTACCCAGGGTTCTAGTCCTGGTTGGGGCGCTGGATTCTGTCCCGGTTTGCTCCTCTTCCAGTCCAGCTCTCTGCTGTGGCCCAGGAAGGCAGTGGAGGATGGCCCAAGTGCTTAGGCCCTGCACCCGCATGGGAGACCAGGAGGAAGCACCTGGCTCCTGGCTTCGGATCAGCGCAGCGCGCTGGCTGCGGCGGCCATTGAGGGGTGAACCAACAGAAAAGGAGGACCTTTCTCTCTGTCTCTGTCTAACTTTGCCTGCCTGTCAAAAAAAAAAAAAAAAAAAAAAAAAAAAAAAAAAAGAAAGGCAGGGAGATACGGACAGAAATAGAAGAGATCTCCCATTGTCTGGTTCACTCCCTAAATGGCCACAACAGCCGGGGCTGAGCCAGGCCAAAGCCAGGAGCTCAGTCTGGGCCTCCTACATGGGTGGCAGGGACCTAAGTACTTGAGCCATTTACTTGCTACCTCCCACTGTGCACATTAGCAGGAAGCTAGAATAGGGTACTGGGCCAAGACTTGAACCTTGATACGGGATGCAGGTGTGTTAACTACTCTGCCTAATGCCTGCCTCTCACTTAATCTGTGTTTCCCTGAAGACTAATGATGTTGAACATCTTTTCATGTGCTTAGTGTCAATAAATGTTTATGTGAAAGGCAGAGTTAGAGAGAGGCAGAGGAAGAGAGAGAGACCTCTTCCATCTGCTGGTTTACTCCCCAGATGGCTACAATGGCCTGGCAGAAGCCAGGAGCTTCTTCTGGGTCTCCCATGTGGGTGACAGGGGCCCCAGCCCTGGGACCATCTTCCACTGCTTTCCCAGGCACAATAGGAGGGAGCTGAATCAGAAGTGAAGCAGCCGGGACTTGAACTGGCGTCCATATGGGATGTCGGCGCTGCAGACAGCAGCTTAAGCCGCCGTGCTGCAGCGCTGGCCCCTGCGCCTGAGGTTCTTGTGAGTGTTTGCTGAGAGGTTGTATATGAGGTACCTGGCCAGTGTGATTACTGGGGAATCCCAAACAAGAAACTTGTCCTCCAAATAGCGGGGTTCCGGTTCCGTGTTCCGATGGCACATTACCGCCTCAGCCCACGGACTGTGTCCATCCTCCCACTGGGGTGGCTTCCAGGGCATAGAGACAGCCCCCGAGTTCCTTTCCTTTCTCCCCCTTTGGACGCCAGGCACTTAGGAATCAGGATGTTCAACAACGACTTCCTACCCAGAACTTAGCGAGTCACTGCCCACGTTCAGGCGAAGATGCAAACTCAGAAAAGCAGTCAGGTGACCTGAAGCCTTCATCCCAGGTCCATCCTAGCTGAGAGACAGCCTGAAGAATACACAAGCAGGCCAGCGCCGCGGCTCACTAGGCTAATGCTCCACCTGCGGCGCCGGCACCCTGGGTTCTAGTCCCAGTCGGGGCGCCGGATTCTGTCCCGGTTGCCCCTCTTCCAGGCCAGCTCTCTGCTGTGGCCCGGGAGTGCAGTGGAGGATGGCCCAGGTGCTTGGGCCCTGCACCCCATGGGAGACCAGGAGAAGCACCTGGCTCCTGGCCTCAGATCGGCGCAGTGTGCTGGCTGTAGCGGCCATTGGCGGGTGAACCAACAGAAAAGGAAGACCTTTCTCTCTCTCTCTCTCTCTCTCACTGCCTGTCAAAAAAAAAAAAAAAAATACACAAGCAAGCAACCACCCAGAAAATTCTGAGGAATGCGGAAAGTCTGATATCCAGAGTTACCACATTATAAAATTCAAGTTTCCGTTTTCAACCAAAAAAAGAAATCACGAAACATACAAAGAAACAGGAAAGTGTGGCCCATTCAAGGGGAAAAAGAAAATCCCTGAGGAAGTCCAAGTGGTAGACTTACTAGACAAAGACTTGGAAACTGTCGTCTTCTTCTTCTTCTTCCTTATTCCTTCTTCCTTCTTC